CTGCAGCATGAGGAGGAGGAGGAAACAGAGGGGAAGGAACATGCCTCTGAGCAGGGGGGGATGGTCACCTGCTTTGGGGACTTTTAAAAAGTCTGCAGAAGCTCCTGTTACAGCCCAATCCAGCCACTGCATTCCCTTGGGCTGTGCTCCTGTGCATGTCCAACTGGCAGTCACTTCCTGGGTCATGCATATGCTCTGCACCTCTCAATTCCATACCTACAAATGGAAAAGAGGGAGAGGGAGTAAAAACTAAAGTGGTGAGTCCAAAAGATGATGAGTGGTGAGCCAGTGTTGTGGTGTAGTGAAACAGAGCTCATGATACACAAGGAAAGCTCCCGGAGTTGACAGCTAAATGTATTATTTACCTTTTTCATTGTGTTTAGCTGAAAATGAGTGCCACCACAAGACAAGTTATGGATGTCAACATTTCTGCTATCCAGGCTCGCTCTCTTACCGCTGTTCATGTGCAAATGGCTACGAACTAGGAAAAGATAAAAAATCATGTATCCCAAAAGGCAAGTATGAAAACTAGAGTGCAGGCAGACCTGTTGCAGGGTAGGCAAACAGGGATAGTGGCATCAGTAGAAGACAGCAGACTCTGAGGCTGAATTTACAATTGCACTGAGAGACCTTGAGGATGGGCAGAAAAGGAGGCATTCAGATGGCCGCTGCAAAGAACAATTCTCCAGCAGCCAAAATGGAAAAAGAAAGTTAATTGGAAAGTTTTAGGCAGAGCCACAAAACAAAGCACTCATGTCATTCTAAAATGGATTTGCTGGATCACAGTCTCCACTTGCTCTCATTATACATTTAGAGCAGGGGTGGCAAATTCACCCTATTCCCCAGGCTGGATACAGATTGTGCAGCTCTTCACAGCTTAGCTCTGCAGGACAAGCAGCAGGTGCAGTGGGATCAGTGGACAAGCAGCAGGGCCAACAGTATAAATGCAAGCAGTGGGGCAGGCAGTTGTGGGCCAAGCAGCTGCATGTTGCAGCAGAGGAAGCACAAGCAGCAGTGGTGGTGATAGCTGCAGGACAAGCAACCATAGGGCAAACAGACACAGCCCTTGCATGCTGGCCTGCTGCCAAGAGCCATGTCCAACAGGGCCCACATTCCATAGTGGGTCCAACCCCTTCCTAGCTATGTCCCCAAATTCCCTGTCCCACCAGTAGGTTTAGCAGGCTGGATGGAGCAGCTCCACAGGCTGGATTTGGCCTAGGGGGCATATGTTTGACACCCTTGCTTCAGAAGACCACCACTGAAGTCAGTCAAGTTACATCTGAAAAGCAAGAATTGAGTAGAAGACTCAACCACAAGCACATTTTTTACTATCAAGATTAGTAGCTGGTAGCTGATCTCACTGCCAAGGTAACACATACATATGCACTGAGGAGCTGGGAGAGCATCATTGTTGTTCCTCAGTGGGGGACTTGTGCTCCTCTAACCCCATGAGCTTCATGGCCTGTAACTATCCACCCCTCTACACCCAAGTGCCATGAGAAGAATCACCCACCTTCCCCCAAACATGACAGGCTGAGAGACCCCCCCACTCCCTCCTGAGTAGGGAAGATGCTCCTCCCAACAGAATGACTTTGCCTGAAAAGAATTCATTTTTTTAAATTTAAAAGACAGAAGTCTTTCAAGCCAAGTGTGAATTACAGCCAGTCTCACCCACTCCCCATCAGCAACAGCTGGATTTGGAACGAATAGAGTCCACAAGATTGGAATAGCTGCAGGAAAGACCATGTGCATTTCACTCACCCACAGACTTTCCCTTCAGCTTGTCAAGGCTCTGCTCAATCACAGCAGAGATCCCACACTATGCACAAACGGACTTCTGTGGGTCCACACTGTCCTGTCATGTTGGTGACAACCCAGCTGCAGGGCTGAATTCAGGGGAGGTACATTTGGGGGTGGGGGAGGAATCCCCTTGTATCCCCTTTGATTCCTCTAATCATTCAATGTTTCAAATATACATTGCATGCATTGCTGTACTGGTGTCGGTGTCAACCATCTTGACACTGAAGATGCACAATGTCCCAGTCAGGCTTGGCATGGGGCAGTCCAGAACAACAGGTAGGAGACAAATATGTGTATTATACATGATCATGCACCACACCATCTACACCCTGCCCTTCTCAGAATCCTAGATCTGCTGATGCCCAGCTGCAGTGATATCTCTTATTTTATCATTTATAAATGTGATGTTGCCCACAAAGTATCCCAGAACTGATATTATCAGACATAACAAAGATACAATAGGAATTTGCACCATCATCAGGTTATATTCTGAGCAGTCATGAGCTGGAAAAATGAAAAGTGAAGGCAATTTTGGGGTGTGCTGGCAGCAGTACTTCTAAATGTAGAAGCGGGGATGGGACCTGCATAAAATTTGCTTGCTTTCAGGAAAATGTGGATAATTTACCTACGAGTTGAGAAGGCTGGAGTCCTCTCAGGCAAGCATACCTTATTATTCCTGCAGAAGGTTTCATTTTGGCTCCCGTATGTGCAAGAGGAGTGGGAGCATCTTTTTTAAGAAAAAGATTTGAGTGTCCTTGGTCCTTGAGGTTTTTGGAGTAGAGCTGGGATCACGATTTGCCGAGTGCAAAATATTGCATGACATAAATGTATTTTTTTTTCTTTTTAACCACGGCCAGATAAATGTGCATGTGGCAGATTTAAAGACACTGTAAAAACAACAAAGATGGCTGAAATGGAAAACAGTCTTGCCAGAGAATTCCCTTGGCAGGTATTTATAGAAATAGTTTTACTTTAAAAAAATCTGTTATAATTAAAATGTGCTGTTTTTGGATGGTTCAACCATGCAAGCTCTTCAATGAGTAAATAAAAACAGAAGACAGCAGTTTAGTTTGTCAAAGTTATCCATGTCAGTATCTTATTTCTTGCCTTTTCTGACTTTCAATAGCTCCACTCTTAATATGCGCACATTTTCAAGTTGTTCTTATTACAGAATGCTCATTAGTGTCTTACATGTCAGTATAAGAAAAGATTCCATTTTTTTCAATATATTCAAAGCTTTGTAACTCAATGTTCATGTAAGGGTATTCCCTTTTGACCTGTCAATGTTATGATATATGGTATTTTAAGGTCTACATCCTATTTTCCCTCTAAGGTGCCCAAGGACAATCCTATTTTACTCTGTTCCACATAAGAACTACCGTCAGTCCATCATGTCCAGTGTCCCATCTCTTTCAGAGCTGAGAATGGATCCTGAAGGGCACATCCAGAATTTTCCACATCCTATTCCTCTCCTGCTGCAACATTCAAGCATTTGGGGGCCCTAGCTGTCCCTAAAACTCACTCACTTCCCCCTTCCCCCAAAGTTAAAATATTTACTGAGTTTCCTTTAATCAAGAAAGTAGGAAGCGGCTGCTTTGGTGACTCTAGCAATCTCTGGACCCATTGCACACCCCCCTTGGCAGCAACAACTTATTTAAATGTTTGCACTATCAAAGTTCAGTGGTGCTTTATGTACGTACATGGTGACCACAGGTGACAGGGAATCAAGAGATTGACTCCAGAGAAGGAGCTTGAGACAGGTCCCCCATCCAAGGCAAGCAATTGGCACACAAATTACCCATGCCTGACCTAGGAATGTTGCAACAAAAGATAACACAGAGCTCTTTTTAGGCCCTATAACTGAAACAAGTACTTTTTAACCCTTTATCAAGGATCTTTAGAGACTAAGTCTGGTGTCAGCAGCTGTGGTAATTCCAGCTCCAATAGCATACATTGCTATAAGCCCAGAAAAAAAAATGAACAAATCAACCTTTGTAACATAGCTTAATCAATTTAAACTAAGCCACAAAAAGCAGTGAGGAGGGGACTACCTGCCTTTCCATTATTTTGTCAAGGATTCAGAATAAAATTGCCCTTTGACACCAAAGTAGGGTACCTTACAGGTGAAGCAGGGTTTGGTTCTAAATATTTAGAACCAAATTCTTCCCTTCTCAGTGCACACCTATTCCTTTCTTTAGAAATGCAGCGGTCAGTGGGAGACTCCTTGATTTGAATAGTAGAATTAGACAGGTATGGCTTTTTTCATTTTAAAAATAATTAACACACAAATCTTACTGCTTGCAACAACTCAGTATTTCATTCCTATCCTGTCATATTAAAAACAGTTATTTGACAACACCATTACTTATTGTTTGTTTTCTTTTAAAGGTCCTGTTGCTAAATTCAGAAGGGAAGAGTTTCTGTGGAGGTGTGCTATTGGCCAGCAACTTTGCGTTGACTACAGCTGCATGTGCCCTTCTGCACAGTCATTTTGTGATCAAGGTTGGGGCTGGTAGGTGACTAAGCATGTTTTCTCTTTATATCTGCCTAAATGCTTGTGTTTGAAAGCTCTTTAAAAAAACCAACACAGCTGATATGCCAACATTGCCATTTAGGAACATTCCATCCAGCCTCGAAAGCAAACTGCTTGGATTTAAAGCCTTTGGTTTTCAGGGAGAAACTGGCATCCATTTTTGGTTGTGTATTTTACTGTCTCAACCTGAAATTCATATTCATTCATACAAACAGGTTTGCCAAGAGTTGAACAACACCTTGAAAGTATAATGCTTAACTTAAATAATCATAACCAAAAACACCCAACTGCTGTAAAACTGGCAAGCACAATGAGTTTGTGTACCTCTCCCCCATTTCACAGCACTGACAATTCATGCATTGTCAGAATAGCTCTTGTGATTGTTGGCAGTAATCTGTGTTCAGCTTTGGCAGCACATAGTAAGGCTATTTTTAATATCAGCGAACATGTCATTACTTTACAGGGAAAGATGGAATGACTGGAGCTGGGCAGATAATGCATGTGAATGAGAAACACATACATATCCGATATGATAAAGATACTGGTGAAAATAATGTTGCATTGATACAACTGCAAGAGCACATCGAGTGTAACAGCTACCAGCTTCCTATATGCACCCCTGACAGAGACTTTGCAGAACACGTTTTGATTCCTGAGCTGGCTGGGATGGTCAGTGGCTGGAAAATTGAAGGAACAGAACTTACTGGAGTGTTAAAAGAGTTGCACGTTTCACACCTCCTTATAAAGGAATGTGAACAACTACTCAATACAAGCCTTACAAACAGGGAATTTTGTGGGCATCACCAAGCACCTATGGACGAGCAGCTGGCTGGAGGAAATTTTGTTGCCGCTGATTATAAAGGCACTTGGTTTCTGACAGGCATTATGGGAACTTGGCCAACAGAAGCAACTAACCCAGAAATATTTCTTTTCACCAAGACTGCAAGATATATGATGTGGTTTAAACAAATCATGGTATAAAAAGAATCCCTATGGCATGAAATCCCTGTGATTGAAATATATGCTTTGGATTCAACAATTGTACCAGTGTCATCAAGGACAGCACCCAGATACTGAAGATGTCATATTTATCCTGTAAATATTTAGCTATATTCACCCATAAATACCAAAACTCAGTATATTTCCTAGTCTGTCTTTCCTCCCCATTGGAGAAAGCCTCATCTTGAATTTGAGTACTAGCCTGGGCCACGTGGCTGCTCCAGCTCCAGCTCCAAACTGGGCCCAGACTATAGCCTCTGCCTGGCACTGGCCAAGGCTGGGGCAGTCACTGCTGCTGCTGCTTGGCTGTAGGCCAAGATAGCTTGAGATAGCTTGTGCGAGGGAATGCATGGTATAGGGAACAGGCTGTGCAGCCTGAAGAGAACACAGGAGAGATTGTGCAGCAGGGGAGCTGCTGTGGCTGTGACCCTGACCTGGGCCCACAGCTGTCACTGCCTAGCTGGGGCTAAAGCCACTGTGTTCCATGTCCCAGGCCAGAGCAAGAGCTGCTACATAGGCTAAGTGGCAGCAGGGAGGCACAAGTGGTGTGGGGGGACTCGCACCAGGGGGGGCAGGCACAAGGGTCAGGCTACCTGCCTCTCTGCTGCTACTTTCCCCGCCACAGCTGTGGAAGGAAAGAAATTTAAGAAAACCCTCCAATAATTAGATTCTATACATGGAAAATGTAACAAAAGGTATAACTTGCCATGCATAGATTCTAAAAATAATTGGGGGAATCATCTTTAAATTTAAGTCACCTTGGATTTGGGTAAATATGGTCATTTTATTGAAACCTATGACAATATTCTAAAAGTCCTTTCAAAAACAAGAATAAAATCTCAAAGAGAAAAATATCACATTTGTTTTATTATTTTTATAAAAATAACCTGCATGAACAACAATGGAATGTGAGTGAATTACCAAAATGTTTATTCATTATTTGAGCAGAAAACTCAAACAAGTACTGAAGAAGTTACCAGAGGCTCAATTCTGAGCAGCAGGAGGCAAACATCTCATATTTGCTCAGCTCTCTTTAAATCCCACTGAGATAAAATGAAGTTCCTGATGTTCAGTGTTTAACAGGATCATCTCTAATTTCCAGAGACAACTTAAAGAGCATGTTGTATTCAAAACAAAATTATTAACAAAAAAATTAAATTTAATGAGAATTAAGCCTTGAAAAAAGTGAAAAAGCTTTGTTTGCCTCCTCAAAGAATGGATTAACAAAGCATCATAAGATAGACACTTGTTGTGACAGATAGGCATGGAAACAGTTACGGGAGCTTACAATAGCATCAGTCTAAGTGACAGTTGAGAAACGTTTGGTTTTTACAAAAATTCTTGTAAAGTGTTTCTTAATATTTTTGCAGTGAATTAGGAATGCTTTGTTTTCTTTTCCTGCAAAAGATGCTTCAAGTTATCCAAGAGGCCAAAAAAACTCTAACACTTTAAAAACATGAGCATTGCTTTCCCCAGGTTTTATCAAGTTTGCAGACCCCAGTCAATCTGGCAAAGAAACCATGCGACAGTTGCGGTATTCTAGTTCTGAACATAACCAGTTGATTAACAGTTTACACTGTGCAATTTGAAAAAACAGTTCTACTGGACAATGCGAGTCTTCCATGAATATCCCTGTACCTAAGATGCAAGTGACTCAACACACCGTAGAAAGCGGGGGGAATGGGTTCTGCTTACTAACCACAAGCTTCTGATGCTGATGAGAAATATATCCTTTAATGTGACCCTGACAGAGGGAAAAAGAAAAAAATGTTAGTACTGGAAGCTGGTGACACATTCACATTCAGTGTCTGCCTTAGAATTTGACTGGATCAAAACCTAACTTGCGGCATTTAATTGTGAGCATTTGAGCAGTGCCATTAACTTTTAACATCTCATTGATTTCAATGGGACTGTTTATGCACCTGTTTACTCCCCTGATGTCACAGGCAGCACACTATGTAACTCCAGTCATACACTTACTGAACTCCACATTAAAACATTGCACTTACTGGAAGACTCTTCCAGAATTTCACTCCTCTGGTAAGTAGGAATCTCTTCCAAATTTTCAACTTAATTTTATTCATGGCCTCTTTGTACCCATTTATTCTTTTCCCTAACATATGAATAGAGCTTGGCTATTGAACTTCAGGACTTATAGTCATGAATTTGTGGATTTTAGAGAAAAGGGCAAGACTGGATTTATAATAGAAATTCAGTTGCAATCTTAACTGTTTTCCATGCAGGGAAAGAATTAGAACATAAGCACCTTTGTTATAGTGAAAATATACAAAGATGTAAGTATAACAGACAAATGCAAATAAGACACAGGTGGCCCAAGAAAAAAAAATGTTCAAAGTAAATTATGCTATTGTGTTAGCCTCCTTTAATAAAATTTCCCTAATCTGTATAGTCATTTATACTGACTGCAGTTTGCAAAGGCAAACAATGAATGGTGAACACATACCATGAATATAAGATTGGCTAAAATACACTGCACTTCATCAATATCAACATCCTCCACTTTCATGTATTTCAGGGCAACCAGAAAGGCATCTAGGGATAGTTGATGAGTCTTGAGAAGCAAATATCTGAAAAAATACAAAGAGAAGGAGCAAAAATCAACTAAATCTGCTGGCTTCTGGGCAAAAAAGTCCTTCCATGCTAACTTACTTTGCCTGGAGCCAGAAAAAAATAAGGACATTTAATCCAGTTCTCTAGAGAAACCACATAAAAATAACATTTGCAAAAATGCAATTTTTACTTTGCTTACACTTTCTTAAAGAGATTCCTGTAGGTGATGATTTTCAGCTTCTCAAGGATAAGGAAGATACCACAGCGAATGAAGAATGTCTCATGTTTTGACAGAGCATCATTCAGTAAGAGAAGATTTCCTTCACTAAAAGGATGGAAATATAAAAATATGAGAAGGCAGATATTTTGCTTCTTCAGCATTATAACTCAATCTGCATTTTTTCCCACACAATAAATATATTTTATGTGATACTCTTTTAAGCCAAAACACACAATTCAGTAAGATGCCATACCTCACAGCCTTAGTTACTTCAGCAAACTGCATTAGGTCATATTTCTTCAAAAGCTGAATTGCTGGCATATGGCCCTGAAAGGTAAACAAAGCTTAAATTTATCCAGAATAAAGTCAAATATTTCCAATTAATAATACATAAAAACATTGTTAAAAAGAAGAAATACAAATGTTTATTTGCTTTGCCCCCAAAAAACAAAAGGAAGTAAATGGAGCTATTTTAAGGCCCCATTACACTGCATCTCCAAGGATAACATGTTACACACCTCTACTTTTTTAAAACTTTGTTTCTAAATTGTATAAACTGTTATAAGATGCCATTACATGCAAGAAACCGGGTTGGCAATGTTTTTGAACAGAGCATCAAAAACACCTGCAACTTCAACTTAACAGGTTTCCCTACTCTCCACCCCTGGCATGCTCCCACTCCTTCAAGATGCTGGCATGCCAGGGGTGGACAGTGGAGGAACTGCAAGGGGCCGGATCCTTATTGTGGCAACATAGCCTCAGCCCATTCTCTTCCATCCACCTGGAGGCATGCGTACCAACCAAAATGCCTTCGCGTGCCACACTCTGGTATCCATGCTGTGGGTCACCTACCCCAGCCCTAGATCACCTTTCATATGACTTAAGCTGTTACAAATTCTATACTTAAGTTGCACCACCAGTCTGCAAACAAGATGTTGTGTTAGAAGATGAATGCCACAAATCATGCCAACTGTGTCACAGCACAGTTAAGGGGCAATCTGTGTCTATAACAGGTATTTTTTCCTTAAAAATTAACAGTGGGAAATTTTAATTTCTGTTCTTAAAATATGTTTATTTGACACGAATGTTTTCATTGTGTTAGGTCACAGAAGATTTTGGACCATATACAATATCAAAAAGGAATTTCTCTCTGTCACATAAGTAAAAATATAAGATTGCACAACAGAGATTATATTGCATATCAACTCAGTCAGAGTTTAAATTTAGGTACCAGGGTGCTCAATGGTATGCCACTGGTAGCCCCTTTATTGGTTAGATAATTGGCTGAGAAAAAGAGCTCTATGTTTCATGTTTACCAACAACCAGGTAGAAACAAAAAGTCACTTATGCTATTTTAATATATTTTAAATATGTTTTAAAGTTTGGAAGCTTATAACAAATTTGCCAATGCCTTGACAGTTGTCAGTCTTCTTCAGGGTTTCCCATAGACCAAAGTTCCTTTAGATTAGCAAAGACAGCAACTCAAGACTAAAATACATGGTTACAAAAGAATAGTGGATTTCTACTAAAGGCCATGAGGGGTTTTGCATCTCCATCCCAGTTCCCATTCCACATGATCTCATATTTTATGTTATGACTGCTCAAGAGAGCCTACAGGTTAGTACACATTGAGAAACCAGGACTGAGGTGCTTTGCCTGACAACTCCTCCAGTACCCATCTCTTGTAGTTGTATGTTTGACATATGGGAGAAGCATAAAGGAAGGAATTCTCCCCTTTCAGGCTGCAGACCGACTCAAGTGTGATTCCCACTTTGCAATGCACAATTAACAATGAGAAGGATCTGCATTTCCTCTCCCTGTAGTATCAGAGGGAACTGCTATGGTATGGTACTGCAGTGTGGTACAGCAGTGGTGCCGTACCCTTTTGGGGAGGTATTTTCCCCCCCCTCACAATCCTACCCTGCTCTTAATACACTGTAAGACCACCAGTTACTTTGATACCGATATCTTTGTTGCTGTGGAGCTAGGAATATAATTTACTCCCTACAAGTTGTGTGAAAAAATATGCTTTTTATTAAGAAGATAATTTAAAATTTAAATTTTATGACCCCCCTCTTTTTTGCACCTAAATGCTAATTCTGCAGTGTCATATAGGAGCCTGACAGACCATGTTTCCAAGCCTCAGGTCTGCAATACACCCTACACAAGCTAACTCCTGCACCTGAATAAGGTCCCATACAGCTTCCAATACAAACTAGGCAAGACACTCAATGCTATGCTGTGCACCATGTTCTGTCTCACAGCAAACTATTTGGAAGCCAAGAATAAAAGGCACTCACCAACAGCATTTTTACGGGCAGCAGGTAAATCAAAATCATCCTTTTGTTTTTCTGACTTGAGCGGTGACAGTGCTCAAAGGCAAACGACAGATATTCCTCAGCTGCAAACAGAGAAAGAAGATCAGCAAAGCTTCTGGTAACAAGGACCAATGACAAAAACTGGTTAAAC